TACCAAATTTCCCTCTTGTAATATCTATTGTGATCCCACCCTTCCCCACGGATCACAATTTGGACAATTTAAAAAATCTACATTACCCAAGGATGCTTTCACATAAGTTTCAGCTTTCAACTTGCTTTGTACCAAGTTTGGTTAAAATTGGCCCAGTGGTTCTAGAGAAGAAGTCAAAAATGTGAAAAGTTTACAAACCGACAGACAGATGGAAGGACTGACGGACAGACGACAGACAAATGTGATAAAAAAGACTCATAGGAGCCTTGGGCTCCTAAGGCTCAAGTGAGCTAAAAAGTATGTCAAATTAAATTTCCCAACTGCTGTGACTTTGAGAGGCAGATTTATACTTGTGTATGTGAATGTTTGTATCAAAATTGAATTTCTTGACCAATACTATCAAATAAATAAAGCAATAAGAACTGTGTTAGAACTTACTCATCCAAGAAGTTGGGTCTATTTGTGGCAGCTATCACTATCACACCTGTCTCATTGTTAAATCTGTTATAAAAAGAAAAAGAGATGGCTTAAAATTTCAGCAAAAATAAAATTCATTTTTAAACAATTCATTTCATGTCAATTCAAAAAGGAAAAATATATCAATACACATATTATATTTTACAGTACATTCTTCAAAATAAATTTTTTCCTATTTTCAGAATATCAATTATCCAATTTTTAGAAGATTCCTGAAAAGTCTTTTTAAACACAAACAAGACCTGAAAATTGAAATGAAATTAAAATTGGTCTCAGTCCTCTTTCAGTATTAAAGATCCTCCTACAGTTTATGAGAGACACTGACTCTCATCACAATTCTTTAGCTCCTCCCCCTTTCAGTTATGCAGTTTGTGATTGGTTAGTTTGCATTGTGTCACCTACCCATCCAGTTCATTTAGCAGCTGATGTAGAGTCTGGTAGGCGAAGCTGTTACTCTGTGACCTTTTGACCCCTACACTGTCTATTTCATCAATGAATATAATGCAGGGGGCATTGGCCTTAGCTGCATCTGTAAAAGAGTTCACAAGTCAGTATGCTCACTGTAGAATCATCATGTATGAGCCACAAAAAAATTAATTATAAGTATGTACGAGGGTTGTCCCGTAAAATCGTGGACAAAGCGTTTTTCTCGAAAAGTAATGGGCGCACTAAGCTGAAAATTTCAGTAAATGTTTATTTATCATATTTAAGTGCATGATAATTTTTTTGATAAAATATAGGCAAAAATAAAAATTTTATTATGCTTGAATGTGCACGAGGTATTGTCCTACGGCAATACACAAGTTTGAATTCAAAATAAAAGTTTTAAATACATAAGATTTGAATTAAAATTATCCTAATTCAATTCCACAATCAATTTTGTAGTCTTTGTAAAGATTTTAAGGCATTTGCTTAATTTTTGGCAGTTTCTCAAGCATTCGAAATGGGAAAGTGGTAAACACAACACACGAAAAATGGCGATGTTTTATGACGTTACGGCGCACCGGAGAACAGTTCAGTTTTATTTCGATGTTGTAATGACACCTTTAGAGACTTGAAATGATCATAGAAAAAAAAAGATTATAAAAGTATCACCATATCTTAAGTATACAAATGAAATAGGAGTTTTCTTAGCGAAGTTTGTTCTTGATCGAGTCCCTGGGGAGTACAAAACATACGGACAAACTCCTAATGTAATAGCAAAAGACGCTGTCACAGTAGACCGCCGATATGAGACTTTCTATTAGTTGAATGATGGTGAGAATATTGTCCGTAACTTACTAATAAATCTCCAGAAGATAACATGAGGGTGCCACTTGGTTCTTCGACTGTTTATGGAGACTAAAGAATGTGTATCAATGAAATTCCTAAATTTAAGTCGGACTCATCCAACTTCATTTTCAGCAAAGATAAAACGTGACGCTGTTTTAGACACTTTGACGTTATAATTCATGCGCCGTAAGGTGATACAATACATGACATAAAATCTCATAATTTGTTTATTAATGCATATATTTATCTGAAATTTGCTGTGTATATTAATAAAATATGTACTAAATAATAGTGAAAATTTCAGAACGCAGTGATGTTTATTTTTCACACTAGACAACTTGTCCACGATTTTACGGGACAACCCTCGTACATGGTCAGATATTTGCTGTAGAAATTCGTCATGTCATACTTATAGTGCTATACAGACATCATAGCATAACATTGACTCACCAAACAGATCTCTTATGCGTTTAGCACCAACTCCCACATACATCTCATCAAAACTGGAGCCGGCAGCGTAGAAAAAGCTCACACCCGCCTCACCTGTCAACAAGGAATCAAGAGATCAATTATTTTACTTGCAGGTTAGAGATGCACTGCAAGTAAAATCCACCTGTGTCGTCACTCTTTTGTTTTCAAAAGTGCTCCATCATTTTCATGGAATGGAAAGTTACAAATTACATTGAAAACAGTATTTGTTGTGTTCATATTCTCCTTCCCATGCCTCTTAACGAGAAAAGAGCTTAGAAAATTTTATCAAGTTTTTTTTTCACATAAAGAAAATTATTGTGCCCAAGATGAGAATAAAATTTAGTTTCCCTCACCTATGGAGTCGAGTACTTATTTTGCTGAGCTATCGAAGCTGTTGAAATGCTTTTGATTAAAAAACTTCAGGACACTATAATTCGCCTTACTTTCTTTAGTATATGTAAATTAAATACTACTTATGTGTTATGTATATTTACAGTGTATCTTATAAATATTCTTTATTATATATTAACAAACAATAAATACAAGCATTCAAAAAGGTGGATTTTACACGGGTTAATATACTCGTAGTGCTGCATTCGGATTTCCTTAAAAGTAATGGGCCTCAGCCCCTTCGGAGCCTCGGCTCCATTACTTTTAAGGAATGGAGTACTTCTCGTACATAAATCCTTACATAATGCATTTTTAAGAAAAGTTCAGTAATGTGCCTTTATGGTAATGAGTCTGAGATAACCAAAGTTTTGATTTATGTTTTACTAGTTACCTTGCTCACAATTATATCTGTTATTAGATAAATTCAGCTAAGGTGAATTAAAATTTTATTCCTACAATAAGGTTCTTCGGGAAGGCATTATTATGACATCATTTGCAAGTCACATCACATTCTGCTGAGCACATACATTTGATATAATGTCAGTGTCTGTACACATTTTAGCGATTTTCATTATTTCCGTAAGTTTGTTTTCCGTTCAAAATTAGCACAAGCACTGATATGTGGTCTATGACTTTATTTTGCCCTTCATTCAAAATTTCATTTGAATTAGTTTTAGTTGGGTGTCCATATGTATTTAATGTAAAGTAATAAAATGTGCATTGAAATTAATTAAAATTAAACTAATTAGCATTAATTTCTCTGCCTGTATTCAGTTTGAATTCAATTTTTTGTAGTAACTTTTATTTAAACATTAAATTCGTATTAAAATCTACATGTGCCCAGGGCATAACATACAAATATCTGGTTTTCATGATGTTTTGTCTGGGAAGCTTCACATAGTAAAAGATCTAGAGTTAAACATTATGGTTTTTTTGGGAATGGGGGTGTTATATATTCCTTTTTCTATTATAAGCAGAAAAAAAATTCCATGAGATCTGAATAAGACTTTACATGTACTAAGAATGACGTGTCCACATTTGAGTTACCTGCGGTGGCCTTAGCAAGAAATGTCTTCCCACAACCAGGGGGTCCCACCATCAGCACACCTGTGGAGTAAAGTCATGTGATTATAAAAGTCATGTGACAATTAGAGCCAAGACTAGTGATGATCAATGTCATAGTCATGTAATTGAACATGTGACTTTTTTTTTTAAAAATTAATTGATCCAATCATGGGATTTTTAAAATTTTCTTTGATACTTACTATGAAGACATTAATGAATTATTTGTCACAACAAGCTTTTTCTATATAATTTTTACCTTGCTATAAATTCCAATCTTGGAATATCTTAAAGTTGAATATTGGTCTGACTCAGTTTGAAATTAAACACAGACTAAAAATAATTACTCAATGGTCATGAGAAGTGAGCAAGGTCTTAATTCATTTTGTAGTTTTCCCAAGCTATTTGTAGTGTCCCAACGTGAGGGGGAAAATTCTCAAATAGACATAAATCAAGGAAACAAATAACCAAACCAGTTGTGTCCAGTACAGTGTACCTTTAGGAATCTTGGCTCCCATGCTGGAATATTTTTTCGGATCTTTTAAAAATTTGACCACAGTCTCCAGCTCTTCTTTAACTTCATCAATCTGTAAAATTTATTTTTTCTTCTTTAAATTAGATTAATTTTGTTTTCATGAAAAATGAGTAGATATTTAGAATAGACATTCCTTTACTGAAAATAAATTTTGCTCCTAATGAACAACATGAAGTTGTGATAAAGATTCTCATGAATACAGAATTTTAACCCATATAGGTATACATTCAATAAGAAATTTTAGTGCTATTTTTTGGTTTAAATATATTTATTTTATCTTGATCATGTTCAATATAATATCAATTCTAACTAATGCTTTTAACTCTTACAGTAGAATCTTTATATTTAGTTCTCTATAAACCAACCCTTCCCCCTTCCAAATGACAAATTCGAGCCAACCCATATAAGTTATGTTCAATGAATAATAAAAATCATTTCACAATATTGAATACACTTGTAATGGTTTGGACCATAGATATCGGTCTGGGTGGAGGTAGCTCAGACATTAGAGCACCTGAATAATGATGCAAGGGTCCTTGGTTAGAATCCTGGTCTAGCCATACATTTTCTCCTTTCTTGTTACAAAATTATAACACAGTACTACACCACAGAAAAACTTTTTCATTTGAAGGCATGTACATACCCCCTTGAAATGACTGAAATAATATAACAAATGTAGCTCTTTCATTTGGTCAATTCATAGATATATTGACTTCACAGAAAAGCATATCGACTCTCACTTGGTGCTCCGTCGATATGCTTTTCTGAGAAGTCAATATATCTATTGATCAACCTCATGAAAGGTTTATATTTGTATAGTATTTTATCAGCAATTTATCTGAATGCCTGTACTTACTCCTTTGACATGACTGAAGTTGATGCCCGTCTTTTCGGGGTGGACCACCATGTAGTTATTAGCACCACCTGCTGGCAGATTGATGGATACCTCCAGCTTCTTACCTGGACAAAAGAAATAAAAGGAATTAAACACTTGATAAATTCTAGCTTGTTCATTTTTTTTTTCATTGCACAAATGTTTGCTATAAACAACAACAAAATACATATAAAGTGGAAAATAACATAAGTTTACCATTAAAATAAATTAATATTATATCTTGTATATATTTGTATTTAATTGCACAAATGTTTCTCTTTAAACTGATGCAACTTTATTTGCATTAAAAAAAAGACTTGTAAAGTGCAAAAATAACAAAATTTTATCATTAAAATAAAATAATCGGGGGAATTAAGCATATAAATTTAGCTCAGATGATCTTTAAAATAAAATCATAAAATTTGTTTTATTTCTCCTGACTCAGAGAAAAAAAATTGTATCACTAGGAATGTAGAAAAAAAATTTTCAATATCAATCCTGACATTCTTAACATATTAATATGTTAAAATTAAATTGAAATATTCGTTGATAGTATGGAATAGAAAAAGCATTTATCCTTTTCCTAAAGTTAAAAAGAGTTTTGAGTTGGGATTTTGTCAGCCATTTCATTGGGAACAGGCAACAAGCTTTTTTTTCAAGATGGCCTCAAAATATATTCTGTTAAAAAGTCACTGTATGCAAAATATTGACTTTGCCATTATAATCATATTGGAGGCAGAGGTTATCATTTAGTGAGTTCAGTGCTCACAGTACCTCTAGTTTAATTAAATATATCATCAGAGAATATTTAGAAGAAAACACAGTCACTGTTAACATTGACTGGCCAGAAATCCCAGACTACCATCTTACCTCTCATGTAAAATGCCACCAACAGCACTGCAATGGTGATGACTCCCAGCGTCACTATTCGCACTTGGTGCCACTGTTTACGTTTAGCGTTCAGCTGCTGTAATTCTTGTTCGATCTCCGCTATGTGTTTCTTGATTTTCTTCTCCAGTTCGTCGGGATTTAAAGATTGTGTGATCCCAACCTGTACAGTGTAAACCGAATTAGAAAGATACAAAAGTAGATGTAGATTTATTACTACTGTAAATCACTTTTTATTTGTGAGAACTTTATTTTCGTGTAATTACACAAGACAGTGTGCTCGCGAAAATTTTATTCTTGCGTATAATAGCATTTCTTAAGATTATATAGAGCAAGAACCACAATTTTGTCTCGCTAATCAAGAGTCAATGACTTTCTCGTGAAAATAAGGTGTTGCGAAAATTTAGTGATCTACAATAATTAAAAAGATACAAAAGCAGATCTAGATTTATGACTAATTTTTGTACAGATCTGTAAATCTTAAATGATTTAAATGAATTTTGAGAGGTGATTCTCTCTCTCTCTCTCTCTCACTCTCTAGCTCACTCACTGTCTCTCTCTCTCTCTCTCTCTCTCTCTCTCTCTCTCTCTCTCTCTCTCTGTCTCTCTCTCTGTGTGTATGTGTGTGACCATTCTCTGTAGAAATATTGTATAGTACTTATATCAGAGATTAGTGAGAGATTTTAATCATAGTCATCTTTTTGTCATACTTAGATATTTTATAGTTATAACTATACATGTTAAACTGCACAAGTTACCTTTATGAATAAGTCAAGAGGGCTCACCCAAACTTAATATCTCGGGAACATTTACAATTTCAAAAGTTGCTTCTAGTTTTGAGATACCAGTATATGATTATTTCATTTTCTGACTATTACAAAATCAAAGTACATGTAGTATTTTCATATCTGTTGAAAGGGCATCTCTGTTCAAACTTTTAGCATTCTCATTTAAATTTCAAAATTACCTGTGACTGTTTATCTTTATTAACGTAGCTACGGATAGCGATCACGTGACATTGCATGTGAATTCTAAATTAAGAATTTTTCGGTTGGCTTATTCCGGAAATGCGCATAGTTCAATATGGCGGACTGCAAGTTGTAAACAACGTGCTCCGAGAAAAGTACACGGGAAACGTTATAGGAACGCTCAGCTATAAAGGTAGATCAAGTAAATTAGAGCGAATGAGAGAATACAACATCTTAAGAAACAGAAAAATATAAAACCTTTTTTTATGAACTAAAATGTCTGTGTATCGCAAACGACCGACTAGCATCCCCCATTCCAAAGCAGACGACGCAGCTGGTTTGAATCTCAATCATGATATGACATGGATGAAATCGAAAGAGGGACGAAGATTTGTTGAGATGAGGAACTTGACAAATCAGTTTATATGCTCTCAGTCACAGTGATAAAGGCAATCGTTAATTTGTATCTTTTCCAAAAACTTTGAAAGCTCTGGTGACTCGGTACTTTATTGTATCAATAGATCTACATTAGGCCTACATTTGAATGGGTCTGATAGTACTGTACTATTTATGGATTTATCGACACTTTCCACGGGAAATCCCGGCCCCGAAAGGAATACGATGGAGAGGCTTATGATCACTGTTGATATCAACTCAAAAGTAGCTCTTGGTAAGTTATACATACATGTATCTATAGATATTTACATGACATACTTTCATACATGTAATAATAGGCCTATTTTAATTCAGCATTAAATTTCACCCTAGTATTAGTAAATTCAGAGAATGTAATAAAGGGACTGTCATTCATTTGATGGGGGTGGGAGGGGGGGGGGCAAATTTTATGGGTGTCAGATTATGTATTTACAGTGAAGGACAGATAATTTATTTTTACTTCCAAGATCACTGCCAGGGGGCCTAATTTTTGTCAAATTGTACCTAAGATATTTTTCTATTAAAAAAATTCCACATTTATAATCATTTAGGGTATTTCGATTCACCTTTAAAGTATTTACATTTTGACTTACAAAAATAATTTTGAGGATAAAACATGTTTGAAAATTAAATTAATTTATCAATAATCATGTAAAGTTTGTGTAAATTATAATTATTTTTGTTGCTCTGAGTGAGTATTTCAGTTTGGTAAAATTTACAGTAGCCCTGCCTGGCAAGTTTAAAGGCATGTTTAGTAGTCCAAACTCAATATTCAGTTGTCGCGTGCCACCGGACTTCCGACTACCCTTAGTGTCGAACCCTGGACAGATTATTTTTGTTTTTCTTCACTGGTAAAAACTGTGTCAGTGTGGTAAACATTGAAACTGTTTACATGTTGTTTGCTGGTCTGATGAAAATTGACAAATCTTTATATTACTGCTGCTGTATAGTTGGAATATTGGCCAGGCAGTTGGTCATTTTAATTTAATGTTAGATTTACTGGTTAAAAATTGATTTGCCAATCAACTAATATAATTAAATTTTGGTTTTGCTGGTATACATGTATAATTATTTGATCTATTTTTTTTCAGCCATCAAGATGGTACTTTCTGGTATAGGACCACCAACCCATAGCAGACCAGGGGATCTTGATGTCAGCATAATAGTGATAATGGCTAATTCATCATTTAAATTTTGCTATGCCAAATTTAATAAGTGTAGAAAATTGGCAATTTACATGTATGAGGTGTAAACTTTTGCAAGTTATATATACATATATGTAATATGTAATGGTTTGGGCCATGGATATATATATCTTCCAGGGTAGCTCAGTCTGTATAGCACTTGACTAGTGATGCAGGGGTCTCAGGTTTGATTCCCGGTCCATCCATCCATTTTCTCTTTTCCTGTTACATATACATATTTTTTCACCGAAATTCTATATATTAGATATAGACATCGTGGGAAATATATTTTGACGTTGACTGCAGATAATATTGTATTTGTTAAATTTTATAAATTACAGATAAATTGATCAGTACAGAGTACAAGGTATATGAATGTGAAGTCCAGACCATTCATGCTGATGATGATTCAACTACTGCAGCTCAACGGAAGAATGATTTTCCATCCCTTCCAAAAAAGAGCAGGGCAAGAATCGCTTGTCGAAAATAAACCAATATAGTCAATAGACTACTTTTTGTCAGCTTTATATTACCGGGTAAATGTATCTCTTGATTGAGTGTTACATTTAAAGTGGAAACTAATCACTCCACATATATAGATTTTTTTTCTCCATTTTTCATATTTAATCTACCCTGTTTTATGTCTGGTGTGGCAATAGATCACTCAACATGCAGCCTTTCATGTTTAATGTACTATGTTATGTTTTGTATATGTCAGTTGCAGTATTACACTGCTGTAGAGTGTAGATTATTTTAAAAAAAAAAAATGTATGCTTAATGTAATGTCGACTTGTGATGCCGGGTTCAGTAATAGGCCAATCAACAGATATTCTCTATTATGCATAATCTACACTGTGAGCGTTTTTCCGGCTATTTAATAAGCTGCTCCAGATATTCATGTAGAATCTTTTTTTTTTAACCTTTTATATAAAATGTCCTGCATCAAGTGTTATGTCCCAGTGCAGCATGGTCATTTTGTTTTTAATTTTTAGGTATAGTTTATGTAATTTTATGTCTCAGGTCAAGGACGGTTTTAGACTAAGCCCATTTTAATTTTTTTTTCTCTGTTTAGCGTCCAACCTTCAATCAAAAACCTACCTACATGTACCTATTTGTAAAAAAAAATATGAACCAAAAAATAAAACACAGAATGTACATGTATCATGTCTATAGTTATAATAATAGTGTAAATCTGAGGATTTTATTTCATCAATCTGCTTTTCTGGTAGAAATATCTATTCTTCAGCAAAATCAAAATAATAAATGCGTAAAGTACACCACCTATGGCATATTTATTGTACATATTTGAGAAATTGACAGAACTCAAAGATTTCAACAAAAATAATCAAGTGTAGGCCCGGGTTCTGATTTTGTTTGTCTGATACATGTAGGTGTCAAAAACCAAGATGCGATTGGATGCCAAACAGAAAAAAGACTTGGAATGGCCTATTAAATGTTATTATCCTACCTTCTCATGGAATAAAATGACTTTTGATCAATTTGAAAGAGTACTGATCATATTTTTTCAATCATCCGACAATGATATTCTTATTATTCTATGGCATAGAAATTTGTGAATTTTGCAGTGCTATGTCAGGTGGATTTCTTTATTCTGTATGACCAAAATGTATTTTCGGACAAAGTAGAATGCATTTGACATGTTAATGATTAGGGGGATTTTTGACATTGCAATGAAAACAATATTCAGATGCATAAAAGGAGGGGGTGTATTAGACCATTCTGTAACTTAATAGTTAATTACCTCTTAATGCAGCCGAGATTTCTGAGTGAGAAATAGTATTGGACATTTTTGTCATACAATATATTTTTTAGAAATCTATAAGAAAACATAGAATTTGTTTGCATGAAAGTAATCAAAAGGGATCATGTTGAAGAATTTTTAAATGTGTTTTTTTTAAATTACATTTTTGTTCAAGTATCTATTGTTGAAATATAAATTCATATTTTAATTTTGTTGAGGAACTTTTTATGGATAATTTCAATATTGCATGGTTTAATTACATGTTTTATTGTGAGGGGAGAGGGGAGGTAACTCTTCAAGTTATTACTCTACATGTACTATTATTTCATAAAAATATTTTCTTTAGTCATTTATTAGCAATTGATTTTTACTTCTGATTTATTTCTTCAGTTGTTTTTCCCTAATTTGCTATGCATTTTTTTGAATAGCCACTTATTATTATTCTTACCTTTACGACGGGAAACCAAAAGAGGGGGGATAGTTGTGGACCATCTGGTACCTTTATTAGCCCTCAATGTGACCAAGATTTTTTGAGTGAAGAATAGTATTAGACAGATCTTCCATATAATGATAAAAAATAAAAATTCTATTGGACAGATTTTTTTTTAGAATTTAAAAAGTGTCAAATTTGGGTGCATGAAAATGGCCAAATTAGTCGAATTTCAAATGTCCTACATGGATTATTCTCTTAATTTGTACATGTTCAGACAATCCATTGTTAAAATAAGTTAATAGTATCAATATTGTTTAAAAATAATTTTTAATATTGAATGCATATTGCACAATAAATTTTTTATGGGTAATAATTATCTTGTATTATGATTTTTGGAGTGACTGGAAAGGGGAGGTAACTCATTACCCCCTGGTTCCGTAATTTACCCACAATGCCATGTTCACATTTCAACTAAAAGTTCATTACACATTTCTTTACACCTTGTGAAAATTTCAACAAAATCTATTGACAGTTTTTTTTGGGGTCAGGTGTCCTTAGCTACCTTAAGCCCCAAACTTCTGGATCCAATGTCTTTAATGGCACCTGTAAAATCAAAATTTTGTGCTCAGTTTTGCAGATAACACCACTAACCAGGGATTGACATTAACGGTTGTCCGATTGCCCGGGACAAGTAAATTCTCAGTTCGGGCAAGTGAAACTATCAATGTACTTGTCCGATCGGGCAAGTGGATATTTCTGATAGAAACATTTTTTCAATCTCACATAAGTTTCTAAACAACACAATAAATTAAACACTTGATTTCCGCCAAAAACGGGACACTGTTATTGCATTCGAAATCCCTCGGTAGCGTTTCTGGATCTTACCTTTATTCAGAAATCGGGTTCGTTTTTCTGTTTTCTTTCCTAGTTTAAAAAATACGATTATCTGTCTGACAACTTACATTACAGTCTTATTATGAAATAGAGATTACAGAATACTTTCTCTACCCAATTAAGGAATTATATGAAGAACGCCAATTATTCACGAGTGCACGATGTATCTTGATTCAAAACATAACAACTCTCTTCCTTCTGGCTTCACCTCAGCTTTTTAGAGGAAAAATTACAATTTCAAACAAAAATCGTAAGAAAATAATATTCCTGCAGTACTCTGTGTGTTTTCAGGATAGTTAAATGACAAGAAACTGTTTTACATACATACATGTACATTTACAAATGTAG